AATCAAACAGACGGTATCAGTGCTAAACGGATATTAGCAGCCCACGTCAGTCACTGCTCCCGACCTAACCATTCAGTCGACCTTGCTCTCGCCTGAGGTAGGGTAGAACACAACCGCCCCCTTCGTCACGTCGACGCACTGGTTGGTTCCTTCACACTAATAGGTCTGGCGTGATTTGAATCTGCCACGGCCGGAAATGTTGTCCCGCCGATGTAGCTGCTTAGTCACTGCCGGAAATAAATCGCACTGTATTCCCCTTTTTCTTACTATGCTCCTGCAAAAAATTTCCCTCATAGTAATATTTGAATCTGGTTCGTGTTGCTTGAACTGTTGGCAGGGCTGCGGTTCGCGTAGACGCGAAATTCATGCCCGGTCAGCCACTACACCAACGGGGACACCATGGACGTGGGAGAATAGCTGTAGAACTAGGTTGTCGACTTTGTTTGCTGAAAACTAAACCAAGTTTCTGGCATGGTGATCCTTCGACGGATAGACTACTAGGTACTTGTAGGGCAGGCATGCATACGCGTGGAAGGTGAACGAAAACTGGAAGTAATTGATTACTCCCTGCTTGAGGACAATTCTTCGAGTGAAGTAGTACACCGAGTTTGTCTCAAATTAGACAGTCCACACTCTGTGAAAACATCGCAGGTCTTCCGTGAAAGACGACGGCGATGGTTTGGGCACTTTCTTCGTCGTGCACCTCAAAAACTCAGCGTTGCTGTCCCCTCGACCCGGCAGCCTTACCAACTTGGAGCTATCGAAGGGGAGGGGTAGTGAACAAGACATGGAAGCGGTTCAGTTCGGTTGCCACAGATCATCATTCGTGGAAAGGAGGGGTACAGTCCGGGGCATCAGCAAGGCCCTCTATATCAGACTTGATTGCAGCCGTGCCAAGATCTAAATCCAATCTCAGTGCCCTGGTCCGAATTCCTAGTCTAGTACTCTTAAACGCAAGTCCATGCCTCTATTACCAACACTTTTGCATCCCAAACTAACTAAACAAACACCTGAAACCCCTGACCATAACTGCCCGTATCAAGTGATTAAGCATGACCGCTGGGTATTACTTGCATCTGAATCTTCCTGTCGCCCATCTCTGTATTTTTATTTTCCTTTATCCAACGCTCTTTCTTTGCTCTGCAGGCGCGTGATCTGGTTCTCGAAGCCATCCTCAACCTGGGTATAAGGAA